GGGGGGCTTTGGCGGTGGGAAAGCCGCCACAGCATCCTTTCGTGTTTTTTTTTGTTATTTTGCCTCTTCCGACGCCTGCTGCTCGCTTTTTGCATCCAATGTTTCATAATGCTAGTGTAGAATACGCATGGCAGGTGTTGGTGACGGCGTGGAAGAGCCGCTTCTTCTTTCACAGCTTCTCGCAGAGAATGCGCAGCTGAAGACCAGGGTTGGCATCCCGGAGCACGAGCGTGTGCTGCATGACGTGCTTCAGGAGCAGCTGCAGCGTTTCTTTGGCGATGTGAAGCGCACGTTGGAGGCTGTCATGTCACAGGGATGCGCCGAGGGGGAAGTGCACGCTGGTGGCGGGTCGCAGCAGGTCTTGGCACTCGTGGAGGCGATGCGGGTGTTGGGCACACAGAACGAGGAGTTGCTGCAGCAGATGAATGAGATGCAGGCGCAGCGTGTAGTGAGTCTCAATGGGCAGGTAGAGGCGTTGGGGCAGGAGCGCGACATGCTGCGTCATCGCGTGATTCAGCTCGAAGAGGAGGTAGCAGCCGCAACAGCAGCAGCAGTAGTACCCAATGATGCTCAACTGCAAGAAGAAGAACAACAACCACAGCCAGCGCCAGCGCTGTTAGCTGAACTGCGCTCACTCCGCGCATTTGATGCGCTTCTCCGCCATAAGCTGAACGAGATGCAGAGTCGGAGCGAGGCAGCGACGGCAGAAGCTGAGAAGCTTGTCAAGGATGGTGTGGACGCCTCTCTTGTTGTGCCGCGCTTGCTCGAACGGGTGGAGGAGCTGCGTGTCACGCTGCACCGTGTGGAGGCGGAGCGTGAGCTGCTCCGCTTGCAAGTGCAGGAGTCGCAGGGGCGCGAGAGTGTGCAGCACGCGTTGCGCGAAGCTCGGCTGGAAGATGAGCTGGAGCTGGGTCGGGCAACAATACAGTCGCTGCTGGAGCGCATCGCCGCTCTGGAGGCTCGCGTCGCCGCGGCGACGGCAGAAGCGGCCGCGCGCACCGATGACATCGCGCAGCTGCACAGCACTATTGAGACGCTGCGTGTGCAGCAGACAGTGGCCGACGAGACGCTCGCATCGAAGCGGCGGCGGCTGGAGCAGGAGATGGTCGACAACCCCGACTCGGTGCGCCGCGAGCTGGTGACGTTCTGGCGCGAGGGCCGCGAGGAGCTGCAGCAGCTGCGCGAGGAGGTGCAGGGGCTGCGGGCGAAGGAGCGGCTGTTGCGCAGTACGCAGGAGGAGCTGGCGCAGCTGGAGCGCACGCGCTCCACAGTGACGAGCAAGTTGGTGACCCTCGCTGAGGAAATTGGCCGCGTGCGGGAGGAGAATCAGACGCTGCGCGCGCAGTACGCCGGGCTTGAGGTGGAGCGCGACTACCTGCGTGGCAGCCTCGCCGCCGCGCTGGCGCACCACATGGAGGCGGAGGATCTGCAGCGCTGCTCTGAGACAATTCGCGACGCCGCGGCGAAGTCGGCGGCTGCGAGCTCCAATGTTGTGGCAGATCCGCAGGCGATTCAGCAGGCAATGCGGCAGTCGCAGGAACTCAAGAACGAGGTGGCGCAACTCACCAAGCAGAAGGAGAAGCTGCATCGGTACATCTCCCTGCGTGAGAAGCGCATAGGCGCCCTCATGGCACGCGAGGCCATACATCACACGGAGGTCGGTGAAGAGAAGCCACCAATAGCAGCGAGCGGTGGCGCCTGTGTTCTGCAGGCCCTAACGTGGGCGGAGCTGCACACCAATGATGCACTTTCCGGTATGGAGGAAACTACCACTACGGAGGGCAGTTCACAGCGCCGCGAGACGTTTGCGAGCATGCAGCAGCGCATTGTGGAGCAAGAGAAGCAGCTCGAGGCGTTCCAGAAGCAGGTGGAGGAGCTCACAGCGGCACGTGACGACGCTCGGCAGCAGGTGGCTTCCACACAGAGTGAATTGCGCGCCACTCTGGCAGCGCGCGAATCCGCCATGGTGGAGCTTCTGAGGAGCAACACATCATTGACGCAGTCCGTCGAGGTGCTACGGTCCGAGAAGTTTCAGCTGCGCACCTCTTACGACGCTGCTGTCGCTTTTACGCAGAAATTGTCCACCGCGTTGGGTGGTCTGCTTGAGCTCTTACGCGCGGAGGCCGGCTTTGCGGCATCCCTCAACGATGCACTGGCGAGGGACCGGGCGGAGATTGTGGAGTTGACGCGCCGCACCGCAGAGGCATGGGAGTCACGTGAGGGCGAGGTACAGTGTGTCGTAGAGATGCTGGAGCGCATGTGCGGGTATATGACGCAGGCGGCAGAGCAGCAGGAGCGGACGCACACGCTTGACGACACCGCACATCTTCGCCGTCTGATGGAAGCGGTGCAGCAGCAGGAAGCACGGTTAAAGGATGTGCAACAAGGCTTTACACAGGCGTGCCGTGAATTCGGCGAGGGTCTGGCGCAGCGCATCACAGAGGCACAGCAGCGAAGCGATGTGGTATGGAAGAAGCGTCTTGGAACACTGCTGGAGGAGCGGCAGCACCTGCAGGCGCAGTTGAATGCAGAGAAGGACTTTTTGGTAAGAATAGAGCGGTCACTGGTTATGAATGCGGCGCATCAGACAGCCACCCCCGCAACTACTGCTACTGCAACTGCTTCTGTTGCATCTGCTGACACGAGTGAAGGTGGGCAACAGGTGTTAGATGCGATTGATCAACTCCTTGCGGCGATGGCGTCACAGGACGCCGCAGTGAGAGTAAGCGAAGAGGAAACGAGTGAGCCCCCGCTTGCTGTTCCCACAACTGATGAAGCTGCGATGAACGAAGAGGTCGATGAGGAAGAAGAGGAGGAAACGGCGATGGAAGCCAGATTGGAGGCGACGGAATCTGCCTGAGGAGCGAATTGATATAATTGTCTTGCCTACACCTCTTCTACTCCACTGGAAAGGTGTAACCCTTTCTTGCGTCTATCCTAGAATCATACATCGATGTAATTTATTGGCGTATTTATTTGTTGGTTTCTTTTCTTTTTGTTTTGTTTCTCTGTGACGTGAGTGGATGTACTGCTATTCCCAGCCAACACGTCTGACAGTATATATATATACATATATATATATATATATATATATATAGCGGCACGTGAGGCTTTTGGGGGTCACATGCGCGTGTGCGTTGGTGATCTTCAAGCCTTGCGTTTGAAGCGTCCATGAAGGCAAAGGCCCCTTCTTTCTTGGTGTTGCAGCAACAAATCGCGGCGTTACCGTTTGATGTGTTAATCCGGCGGATTCACTCAAGCTCTCAGAAAAACCCGTCACGCTCCCTTGAGGCACACTTCCTCGGTGTCAGCTCCTTCTCGGTCGTTGTAAAACGTGATGGGCCTTCTCATGTCAACTTATTCACGCCCAACGGCCTAAGAGCAGCAACCGACGAAGCCGCAGCGTCGCCACTTGAACTCCGCTGGATTTTAAGNCAGCGGCTACTTATGGACGTGCAGCAGCCTCGGGCACGTCTGCAGCTTCGTCTTGATGATCTGAGTTTGATTCTCGCGAATGCGCTTCGACACAGATTATCCCCTGAGCTCGTCAGCACAACGCTGCGACTCTTCATACAAGCACTCAACACTACGGGAGGCTCTGACAGTCCCTCCCAGCAGGTCGAGGCCCTTTCTCGTGTGATGGAAGTGTGCTGCGATGGACTCGTGGAGTCTACCGCTGTGAGGTGGGATGAACTGGCAGGCCTCGTGGCGACGGTGGAGCAGCGATGGTCACTCTTCACCAAGTCAAACTCCCTTTGCTCTCTGCTGATACAATTCCTTGCAGCCGTCATTACGGCGCAACTCCCAATGGAATCGTCGCCGTCGCGCATGCTGAAAGCAGAACCAGCCCTGCTGAAGGAAAGGTGTCTTGAGCTCACCAATGACGCAACAGATAGCTTGGTAGAGGCAATGGCAGCCGGTGGTCCCCTCGCTTGGAACCCAGCCGAGCTGCAGGCAATGTGTGCGGTAGTTGCGCAATTGAGTCATTTTGAGGACTCCCGAAATCTCCCTCCATCTGGATCAGCGGGACGAAGGCGGATCTGGAGACGCGTGGCGGCGGCAACAACAACTACAACAACAGCAGCAGCAACAAAGATAGCATCAGCGGAAGCGGCACACGTTCACAAAAAGCTTCGCTACGTAGTGACGGCGCAAGTTCTCACACAAGGCCGACTGATTGGGGATGTGCAGGCAATGACGCTGCAACACGCGGCCGGTTTTTTCGTCAGTGTCTCGTCTGCGTGTGGTACTGAGGGGGTGGATCGATTCGCTGTGCCGGTTCACAACGTTCTAAAGAGGGCCGTCGTTGGTGACGCGTCGAGCATGGCGCACGTTATTCGCATCGCCGAGGCAAGTCTTCAGGTGGAAGGTGCGACACTGGTCTTGGAAGAGGCAATTCGCTGTATTTCTCGCCACGCCTTTGTGCTGACTACGGGATCCACGTGGAATCTTCTGTGCAGTGCGTGCGCCGTGCTGGAGAGTGCACCTTTGAGCATGCGCACGGTGGTGGTGAAGTGTGTACATGCGCTGCAGCTCGCAGTGGGGACTGCACGGCGCCTTCCCACAGACGACTCCCCTGAGGTAGAGTCGTTTCGTTTGGGTTTGGCCATGGTGAGCACACTCCTCGTGACTCACGACGTGTGCGTGAGTGAGCGAATGGAGGAGATCATGCAGTCTATCGTCGAGGCCGCGCCGCCTGTGAAGGACGGAGGGCGTGGGCCCGCCACGGTGATACGGTGTTTCTTTTTTTTTGCCTCCACCACTGGCCGCCATGCCGGCGACGAGCCTCACGGCGGTGGCAAGCGGGAAAGGGCACTGCATCTGGCCATGGTGGAGGCGGGTCGGCTCCTCGGCGAGAAAGCAGACGGGGGTCGCAGCAACAGCCAGCACTATTTGACCAGCGCGGAGCGCACCATGCTGCGCATGGCATTTAAGCAGGCACGCGCTCTGACAAGAAGCGCCCAGAATGAATTACAACAACAGCCTCCGCAGCCGCCATCGTCGGAGGAAAATGGCGAGTGTGGAAGAATGCCGCCACCGCGCAATATGGGAAAGGCCGGCCAAGTATGACGAAATGGAAAACAAAAAAAAGGGACAAGCCAGCGAGAGAAGAGGAGGAGATGGCCCCACGCGCTGTTGGGCAAGAAGTGCCACCACAAGGCCCCCGCTCTTCCCCTGTATTTCGCTTTGTTTGTTTTCGTTCTGGTTGGATTTTTGGGTGGCGGCGAATGGAATGGTCAAGTCCTTCCTATTGTTGCATGAAACTGTAATAAAATGCTTTGTCATTATTTTATAATTCAATCAAAGGTCTATAATAATGTATGTTTCCTTTTTTGTTTCGNCCTGTAGAAGAGAGTGTCACAAGGCGTGGATTCTGAAACTACAGATAAGCCAGAGGCAAGTTATTACAACCTTTATCACAAGCCAGGAATCCCTCTTGGATGTTGAATGGATGACAACCCTTAACGGTTCTCAGGGCCTTCGCGGAACGTTGCGGTCAGGCGTCTTTTTCCTTTGGCTGACCGCGCGCGAAATGACGGCCCCTCGGGTTCTCAGCGCGTTCCGCTTGCGGCTCTCCGGTTCCCGGCCGGGCGCGCCAACCGGGTCCCGGANTTTTTCCTTTGGCTGACCGCGCGCGAAATGACGGCCCCTCGGGTTCTCAGCGCGTTCCGCTTGCGGCTCTCCGGTTCCCGGCCGGGCGCGCCAACCGGGTCCCGGAGGCCAAGCCTGAAACCGAATATTGCACACCCCACCTTCCTCTACGAAGTAAAGGGGGCGAGAGTAGAAGAAACCCATATCTAATTTCCCATCGCGGAAACCCCAGGCCCCTAGTTTGCATTGTTGGGTTCCCCCAGCAACATCCAAAGATTCCCATCTTAGAGAAGGTGCAAGCGCGCAATCACTGATGAAAAGGGGTTGCTGAAAGCGCCCCCAAAAGCGCCCCCCGCGCCCTTTTTCCCAGGTCCGGCCCCTTTCGCGATGTCCGTCGGCAAAACCTTTGCCCTGTTCGGGATGCCGTCCGCCGGATTATTTTCGGACGCGGCATGACCCCATGTGGCGCCTCAGCCTCGGCCGCGCAGCGCCATTTCGACGGGCCCC